GCCGGCAGTTTAAAGGGCCCCATCGGACCGAGAGCGATGCCGCGGCTCGAGGTTAGTGATGCCTGCCCCGAATTTATGTGTGGCCCGGCGTCCCGGTGGCGGGCTCTGGACGCGATCCGGCGGCTGATATTGGCCTGGATCATCACCGGTCGGTCGTGAACACCCGGCCAACTAGGGCCGGGGCCAGCCGCGGAGCGTCGCTCCAGCGGCCTGGTGGGCGTCGCCGCCAAGCTCAAATGCAGCCCCGAACACACACAGGGTCACCGTCTGGGTCGCAGGGAACACAGCCGGTAACCGCATCCTCGCCAAGCGGTGACGGGAACGCCGACACCTTGCTATCCGTCGCTGTTTGCTTTCGTCTGTCGGTCCACTCCTAAGCAGGACCCAGCCAGTGACTATTAAGGTAACTTACATAAACCACACATTTCATTCTGTGTTTGTGCCGGGGCTTCGGCATTACCAGATCTCAGCTGTCAGCGCCTGTGCAGCGGAGCGTAGGGGCACCGTTTTTGTCGTCGTTTTGCAGAGACTGCACGACGCATCTTCGTTCTTGGCGGCCCCGTGCTGTAAACATGCAAAAGTATTCATGCTATCAACGGAGGCGGCAAAAAGGAGGAGCGAAATTTACATGCGACGCAACGGCGGGCTTGGGATAGCTACCGTTCTCCAAGCCGGACAGACGGGAATCTGATCGCTCTTCCGACCATTTTGTTGACAGTGTCGAAGGGACCAATCATCATTCAGAAGCGATGCAGCGGATCCGCATCGCAATTCCGTGGCCGTGTCTGAAATCCCACCAAGCTCAACGTGATAGTTCAAAAAGAACAGAAAAGCGTCAATACTGTTTCGCACTGGGAGCTCGAAAACTTGCTCACATTTGATACGGGGTCCATGATGATCCCAAGTGGATTGCCCAATCTGACTAGATCAGACACAGATACGACAGCAAGATGTGGGCACTGGAGATACATTCGGCCCTCGCACATCGTAATTCAGCATCGTACCATGAAAAAATAGACACTTTGCGTGATTAGTGCCCAGCTTTTTTTTTGCATACGTCAGCGTCCACACATCCTTATTTATCTGGTATGCACATCATGATGCAACTTCGTGCAGTACGGTTTTTCTGGACCTCGATCATGCAAATATCGAACGTTGGCGCCAAAGCTTGAAATTCACGAACAAGGTAAAGCATAAACTCAGTCGTACATGATAACGTAGACGAAGCGTTGAGTCGATTGGTCAGAACCTCACCATGTGGCCTCTGATCTCGGTCGTCACAGCCCTCGGAAGTTTGAAAATATTAGGTATCATCATTGACAAACGCAATCCAAAATGCTATGCAAACTCATAAATCGCCTTCCATAGGCCAATATCCCAAAACGTCGAAATATTGGCATCAATTGACGTATTTTTACATCAATTAGCACCGTTTGACATGACATCAACCGCTTCATGAGTGTAGACGCGCTGCACCCATGAGATGGGGTCGGGGTACTGAGGTCGGGCGTGCGCTAACTCTGCGCCCGAGCAGACGGGCTCTGGTTCAGACGTCCTTATCTTCTCCCAACATGCGTACTTATCCTAACATGTTCATGTTGATTGCATAAAACAGCTGCAATTCCCAAAAATGATTGTAAGGGGCACATACGGACAGATTGTAATGCCTTTTTTTACCACACCGATGAACCATGGGCTCACGTAAAGTTCGAGAACATCGGTGGCTTGAGCCCCCCCAAATCGATAACAATTTCCACCTGCGTTGCTAAGCCACGCCTTGCCCCAGCGTCACCCCCTCCCCCCCCCCCCACCGCAGTCACTAATCTCCCAAGCATCACCTCCGCCTTTGCCGTCACCGTCTCTTCAGTATCACCTCTGTCTCTCCCACAATCACCTTTAACCAGGGGTGTGGCTTGGCTCAATGAGTCGGGGGGGGGGGGGGAGGAGGGGCTGAAATGGAAATTGTCAAAACGAGCTCCAAATGACACAAAAATGGGCTAATAACGGATTCGACCCACCCTAGTCTCCGAGCAACAAACAACTCCCCCCCCCCCCCACGACTGAATAGGGGTCTCCACCCTGACCTTGGCCTTCAACATCGTCCCCCCTGTCTTTTCAGCGTCGTCTTTTCTCCACACCGTGACCCCTCCACCATCCCCTCTCCACAGCGTAATCCCTGCACTTAGCAACTCCGCCACGTGCCATCCCGGGCCTCCCCGCCGCTGCGCATGCGCGGAGACGGCGCAGACGCCGCACCCCACAAGAACAAAACGCTACTCGGCCGTTTTCACCCACATCCCCACTGACCACTGCGTCCATCGCGCACTGCCCATAGCTGGACGCGTTCGGCGCTCACTCACCAAACTCAGCGCGGGGGACACTCGGAGTAGGATCGGGAAGCCGGCAGCGCTGCCCCGCTCCCGCTGCACCCCTGCAGAGCGCGCTCTGCAGTGTCTCCGTGGCTAGAGCTCCGCCACGCCGCTGCAGAGCGTCATTCGCGCCGCGCCGCCGGCGGGCGCCCGGTCAGCCAGACGCGTGGCTCGTCGGCCAGCCAGGTGACGCCGCCGCCCGGCCATGATGGCCGCCGCCGCTCCCGGACCACGCCCGGAATGTGGCGGCCCGCCGACCCGCTCGTTTCGGCCCAGATTACCTTGTTATTTTGACTCGACTAATTAGGAAATAGATTTTCGCCCTGCGCGTGTTTGTCATCGCCGTCGTCGTCGTCGGCAGCGGCGGCGGCGACGGCGTCGTCGGCGGTGGGGAGGGGCGGGCGGGGAGGGAGGGGAGGTGATGGCCATCAGGGCTATTACTACACCACGATGAGCCCGACAACCTGTTTGGCTGGGTGGGGTCGGCCATTACTCAAGCCCGCGGGGTTTACATTTCGGTAGCAAACACGCTGGCCGGGCCATGATACCATCATGCGATGCACGCCGGCTGACAGCGGCTGACGGTAATAACCCGCCGGGGGACCGGGTCGTCCGGCAACGAGCGCCACGCGCCGCCGGCGCGGCCGCGCCAGCTCTCGCCGGACTATCGGCCGCGGCTGTGTCCGGCGTAAATACCCGTGAAATCCGCTCCGAGTGCACGGCGCTCCGGCCGTGTCCGGTATGGGCGCTATTCCGGCCGGCCGGGCCGCCTTGCCACCGCTCGCGCCGGCCCATTTGATCGGCCGATTGGCGCGTTGTTTCGCTTAGCTGGCCCGTTTTCCCACCGAAGGACAGGCGGCGCGTCGGCTAAGCCACTTGCTTCCGCCATTTGTGGGGATTAGAGCGCGATTTGGGCCTGGTGGAGGTTGGTTTAGGGGGTGGACGGCGACAGTGTGGGGCCGCTCAGCTCGATCTGGGGGGTCGGGCTGAGCGGCCCGGCTCCGCGCTCGTGTTACCGGGTACGCTCGGAGCGGCGTTCTCAGTGAATCCGGCACGTCACAGCGCGCTGCACTAGATTTTTGCTGAATGTGTCTGTTTGGTGCAGTGGAAGAGGGTCTACGGAGGCAAATGAACGTTGATGTTGCAACGAAAACGGCCTTAAAGTCGGGGGAGTCGATTTGAGGTCTTCTATGGGGCTCGCGCCCATTCCTACCGTTGATTCCCCCCCCCCCCCCCCCCCCAGTGTCTGTCTGTGTCCCAATATTTTTGCCGGAATATTTCATAAATGGAAAAATAGTACCTACCACACGATGCTCTTGCATGCTCTTTGGGCACTGCCCGCTGGCCATAATGTTGAAATAATGATCCACTTAACAGATCATTTAAAAAACGTTACAATTGCTTTTCGTTAGGATACAGCGGCCAAAGCCGTTCAGGACAGAACTGCTGGGGTAAGATCAGGTTGTTGGGCTCTCGACACGACTTCACCCAACCATTTATATAAGTTGGCTGCCCTTTTCAAAAACACGCTTCCATCCTCGCTAGTCATCATGCTGTATGGCTCCGAAGCCTTACCCCGAGCGTCATCCACAAAGTTCGAGCCGACAAACTAATGCTGATGGGGAGGTGATGAAATAGGATAACATTACAGTACTATCACAAGTAGCACGTTTTGACTACACGTTAATCATGGCCTGCTTGTTAGTATTGCACGAGTCAAACTAGCAACAGCATCATGTTTCGACTTTTAACACAAACCAAGCTTTGCTGAGTACAAGAATGAGGCATACCGAATTACAAAGCACTTACACCACCTACTCACAGTACACCGGTGTAATCATTAGCGTCATCTTACAGAATGCGTTCGTTTATTTCATTGAATTACAGGCACACTAAGCTTTTTACAAGCACGCAGAGTCGTCAAATACAGTGCCAGCTGTGCTCAAAATTTTAGTTTGGAGCTTCAGCTTACAGCACAAGTACTACATAGGCAATGCAAGGGATCGTGCTGATAGAGCATATTCATGAAAACATGCTCAGTGATCATCGGGAAAATTGGGTCACCACAAAACTAGTTTTTGAATTGCACATGTGAGAAGTTGTACGACGTCTTTTCCCATTGAACCTGGCCCCTTTCTTCTTTCAGGCTTTCGCTCTTTCTGTTGCAATTAGTAAGTAGTATTTTAGACAATTAGCATAACAATTAGTAGTAAGGTATTAACGATTAGCTCCTTTGCCACGGTCCCTAACGTATTTCCGTAATGCAGCACTTCACTGTCACATGCTCAGCTTTAAAGATGAATTACGAGGGAGAGGAGAACGTGTAGCAAAAGAAGACCACACGCACCCGGAGGTGCCGCTGAGAGATGCCGCTGCATTATCCCGAAGCGCTGGAGGCGTGACGATGTAAAACACAGGAAAGCTCAGTAGCAACTCCCGAATGCATCACCTTTACCACGCTAAACCATTGGGCCACTGGGACATTTTCCAAAGCTCGGGCGCCGCTGCCTAGACCGGGCTCTTCTGTAACCCACGAAATACCAGCGCGGAGGCCAACGTGTCGAAGCCGCCGTCATCCGACCGCAGCAGTCTGGTGACGTCCTGCTCCGACCGCAGCAGTCTGGTGACGTCCTACTCCGACCGCAGCAGTCTGGTGGCGTCCTGCTCCGACCGCAGCAGTCTGGTGACGTCCTGCTCCGACCGCAGCAGTCTGGTGGCGTCCTGCTCCGACCGCAGCAGTCTGGTGACGTCCTGCTCCGACCGCAGGCAGTCCTGGTGAACGTCCTGCCTCCGAACCATGCGGCGGTCCGGGTCTCTGGGGAGGGGAGAAAGGTCAGAGGGAGGGGGATCGCGGTCAGGATCTGTGGGAGGGAGGAGGGCCTCAGGAGGGTAGGGCGTTCGCAGTCGGGATCGTTGAGAGGAGGAGCCGCGAGGGAGGGGAGATGATCGCTGTCTGGATATTTGACGAGGAGGAGCGCCAGGAGGGGAGGGACAGCGGTCGGGCATCTGTGGGAGTAGGAGCGCAGAAGGGAGGGGAGGGATCGCTCTCCTGGATATTTGGGAGGAGGAAGGCGTCCGAAGGGAGGGATCGCGGTCAGGATCATTGGAAGTAGGAACGTCAGGAGGGGAGGGATCGCTCTCTGGATATTTGGGAGGAGGGGCGTCAGGAGGGGAGGGATCGTGGTCAGGATCTGTGTGAGGAGGAGCGTCAGGAGGGGAGGGATCGCTCTCTGGATATTTGGGAGGAGGAGCGTCAGAAGGGGTGGGATCGCGGTCAGCATCTGTGGGAGTAGGAGCGTTAGGAAGGGAGGGGTCGCTGTCTGGATATTTGGGAAAAGGAACGCCAGGAGGGGAGGGATCGCGGTCAGCATCTGTGGAAGTAGGAGCGTCAGGAGGGGAGAGGTCGCTGTCAGGATCGCTGGGCGGGGCATCAGCTTCAAGGGATCTAGACGCCGCCCATAGACTGCAGTCATGGCATGCGCAGGATGTGCCGATCCAAAGTTTAGAGGATATCATCACCTCTGTGGCTAACAGCGCCGACCGTTTGAGTGCAGTGTTTGGCGCTAACAAGCTCAGACTGCGCTCGTGGTTAAGCTCTTGCACTGCCAGGCTCGTCTAGGATGAATGTCACGTGGACGTGACGTAGTCGCGCCACGCTGACGAATATCGTTTGCTCCATGAGACATGTACAACTCATAACGCACGATGCTCAATGTTTCATAGTAAACCCCAGGGCGGTGCTATCTAGTGATAAAAGCTGCTTAGTATTGTTAAATGGTTTCCCATGTAATTGTTCCAATTAAAATGTGACCCACAAAAATAACACTAATTGAACGCTAATTTTCTTATCATTCTGCGCTTGGACGGGCTAATGAAACAAAAGCCCCAGTTTAATTCAATCTATCTATACACATATCAGACCTTACTTTTTAAGTGTCACAATCCAAACTAAAATGCAAGCATAACAGTCGCGGACTTACGGCGGGATTGTGATAAACATTGGTGGGTCGTAGATCTCAGCCACAAAAGTACTGAGATTACGCTTTCCCTTGATTGCGAAACATAAGCATAACTGCATATATATATATATATATATATATATATATATATATATACCATCAAGCTTTCGGGATGCAGTATTTTGTCTGTAATTTTGTTAAGATTTAGTGTACTGGCGGCGCGGGCCTTGTGGACGGTCTTTTTCCACACATCTTATTGATGAGACACACGCTCGACACTCATTGGGGAGCTTGACACCCTTTCCTACTTTTAACTAATTTAGCCACTTACAGTGAAATATTTGAAGCTTCTGAAATGTTTTGAAGTATTTAAAATTTTCCAGATTATCAAGTGATGATGGCATAATATGAGCTTTACCTCAACATGCAAGTTAAATGTACGAAATGCTTGTAGCATGCAAATGCCATCTTTGGAATGTGATTTTTAACGAAGAAAATCTAGATCTTAGGGTCAAAAACCTGATAGAAGACTATGAGCTTTATCTAAAAAATAGTGTTTATTTTTGTCACCCGTTGGCCCCATCTCCGCGACTATCCTGGCCGAGGTCGCCGCTTCAACATGCTATAATGTTCTCGTCAGCAGCGCTCCCGAATAGAATGCTCGGATTCTGTTGTTATTAACATCAGCACTGAGCGCCAGAGTGGTCCTTCTCCCATTCAACCAATGCTTCTCCGCAAATGTCACGTCACGTGCCTCACCCGTGCTGTACAATTCCGTTTGCGAATTCTTCAGAGCTTTACAATGGACCTTTCGCAGACGTTCTATGTTCTAGTCGATCTAGCACTTTAGCATCGGAATAATGATAACTGTTTTTTTACCATTGCTTTCATGATTCATTAACAACACTGCTAATGCTGTTAATCAACATAAACAACACTGTTAACTGTTAACGTTGTTAATGGTGCTAATTAACAACACTGTTAACAACACTGTCAATGCCGGTGGTCCGCATTATCATTTGTAATGTCTGTTCATAACTTTCTTGTTTCGTTTGTTTTCTCTAACGCATCATCCATTTTTCTCCTTCTTCACTTCCATCAGGATTGGACGGACAATGGAGAGGTAAAAAGGAGGTACATACTAAATGAAGATATATCATGACAGGAGTTGTAATTGAAGTCCTTCATAAAAATAGAACAAAGATGGTGCAATACTGATACACGTTTATTCATAATTCAGGCATATGCTCACAATTTGGGAACGAACATCAGGAACATGTTTCCTATGGCGTATTTCCAAAATTTAAGCATAATACTTGCTTAAATAACGTGAAGGCTTGCATGCCAGTGGTGATCGTAAGCCATGATAGTGTATTTATTTCTCAGACCTTAACTCTGGCACAATTTGCATGATACTTGTCCGTGATAGAACGTCGACGTAAAGGAATATGTCACCTTTGGGGCCTATTTCAAAAGTTTTTTTTTCTTCTCAAACCTCAGGACTGGTCAGGCCTGATAGTGACATTGGAGAATGGCACTGCAGCACCAACCAAAAATAATAAGGACCCGCATTCCAGTTGTATTCGAGTGAAAATTACAGACAACGCTCTAGCACACCCCTATATTTCTTTTTCGTTGTAAACCCGTAGAAGATTTTGTGGAATGGGCGGTCTTAGCGCAAACAAGACATTCAAGTGACATAATTTTTCATAGCTTTCGAGAATGTACGCAGGGGCCTCATGTCGATCTCGCTAAGAGAAATGACGTACAAACTGTCACAATTAAGAGAAAAATCGCACGTAAACACAATCGGAATCTTGGTTCCTATTAAGTGTGGTGGTCACAATGGACGTCACTATTTCCGACCAGGAACAAAGTCCGAAGACCTTTGAAAGTTGTGAGCTGAGAACCTTTGTGATTGACACAGTCGGCACCACCAACCATTGAAATGAAATGTTCCTCATGTGAAGATACTGAAGCAAGCATTAGACATGATGGTGTAAGCTCACTTATAACTTTTGATATACATTTAAAGGGGAAAGACTGTTCTAAACAACACGATTTCTCTGTTCAGTAAATATTCTTCTCAATGCGTCATTGTTTGATTGCGTCATGGAACGATTGTAGGAGAACGCTCACTTGCAGTTCTCTAATCTTTTTCTCGTGGTGGTTTTGCATATTTATCCGTTAAATTTAGGCGCTTACCTGCATTTAAATACTCGGCTGCAACGCTGTTCTTGAGTTATTCGATTACAAGTCCGAACGTCGCAAAAAGTAGGAAGGATGTATAACTTCTTGTATTGTGTAGCATAAATGTAATTCGTGTCCGAGCCTTGCATACCTTGCACAACATTGGTTGAGGGCCAATCGACTGCCAGGCTATTGTTCAACCGTGCTCACAAACGCCAGATATGAACAACTCGACAAATACATTTGTCTTGACCTTGAACGCCGCATGAACAGTAGCATGACAGGATTTGGTGGAGTGGTAGCATTGAAATAGCCTGCGCAAGAAAGTCTGCTCATTTTAACAGGCGTGCAGCTCAGAAACGAGAGGGTTTTATACCTTAATGAGGGCAGGGCTGTGAATTTCACCGAATGGTCTTCAAGATGGCTGGTTCAGTTCAAAACCCCCTTACAAAGGTCGAACCGCATGAAGTTTAAAAGGATTGCTGGAGTCTTGTTATGGAACACTCCTTTTTGAGGGAGTGTTCAACATCCAAATGGGGTTTTGAACTAAAATAACCATCTCGAAGGCCATTCGGCACAGTTCGGAGCCCTGTCCTTCTCAAGACCTACACCTCCTCAGATCCTGGGCTCCACGCCCGAGAAGATCTGCAGAATATTCCGGGGATACTATTTCAAGGCTACGCAGGCATCCGTGACACGATGATAATGTCCTTCAGGTCCTGTCGGTCCATTGCCCATGCAACGATCAAGGCCAATCAAGATTTAGTTGTCGAATCGTTCATGTCTGGCGTTCGTGAGCACGATTTCCTTACCTAACGGGCGTCAGTTGGCTCTGAAGTAATGTTGTACACGGCACGATGACGCAATCAAACAATGATGTGTTTGGATCATATTTACTTAATAGAGAAATTGTGTTGCTTGGAAGGATCTTTTCAACTCAGAAGTATATCAATAGCTATAAGTGAGCTTTTTCATCGTAGCTGGTGTCGCATCAGATTTCAACGCATCATCGTCTTCAATGTATTCAAATGTGGAACATTCCGTTTAAACAGAAGTGCCTTGTTTGAAATTAGACTTGTGCGTCATTAGGCCACATGACATGTCGCTGTTACACACCTGCTTTGTAAACACGGCCTTGCACTGAACTGACCATCTGAGTAAAAAAGATATCCCAAAGCCAAAGCGTCTTGGACAAGTGCCGCCATGCTATAAAGACCGCACGGGAGAGTCGAATGCTATGTTTTAACGTTTTGACCCCCTGTTATCCTTTCGGCAGCCATAGGGCCACTTAATCCATTGACGTCATCAACTATTGTCCAATCAGGCGGCTCTAGCGCACCTCATGGCGCAGCTCTGAAAACAGCATTGCGGACAATCGATGACGTCTGCGCACCACGTGACTTAACGGTCAAATGGCTGGATGACCGCACCTGGTATAAGAGCCTTGGCTTAGACGTCTGTTTCATGGCTTTTCGTGGAATTCCCGTGATAATGGCTTGGTTTTTTAAAGCTCTTCCCTAAGTAGCATGTTCCGGCTCTCAAACCATTTACTGCACAAACATTTTTTTTTCAACTAGGGGACTGCAAACATAACATAACACACATTGGGAAAGAAAGCAAATGAAATGTTTTACTTGAAATGACTGGTGGACACAGTGTTCCAATA